AGGAATGCCATGGAAGGCCAAGGTGTGTTTGGCCAACAGCAGCTGCAACACCAAGGCTGTTCACAGGCAGAGCCAACCTGTGAGCCACAGGGAAAAGATCCCTGGGCTTGGCTCCATATTTGGGAGGAGACAAGGGCAGAGAAAGGCAGGAGTCAAGGGAGATGAGAGGGCTGTATAAGCCTGGCAGCTGGAGACAAGGGGCAATCAAAGAGCACAGACAAAAACTGCAGCTTGGTGTGCTTCTTTGCCTGAGTGCTGCACATAATCACCACAGGATGGGAAAGAAATTTCTCGATTCACTAATTAACAAATCATCTACATGCTGTACAAATTCTCGTACTAATTTTATACCCTTTCTATCAAACTTTGATCCCTGGGGCCATGAGGGATGCTGGATTGCCTTGGGGAAGACATTTGACAAGTACTTTCTCTTGGATTGCAGGCTAATGGAGTCCTGTCTCATGGCAGGGGGCATTCTTCCCTTTGTGTTAATCAAGATGGGCTGTGCTCAGAACAACCACCCCAAATCTGTAGCGTTTCCTAAGACTCTGGCATAAGCTTCTTCAAATATTTCCTGATGTCAGAAGCATCCTGCTCACTAAAGACACTGAGTGCAAGAGTGTCACTCAGGGTTATTGATGGTCATTACCCTGTCCAGCAAGCAGACCAGCTTAGAGCTGCCCAGTCATCCTGAAACAACCTTATTGTGCTGTCTTGGCAAAACTCTGCTGCCCAAACAATTTCTCCCGGTTCTGTACAACCTGGGCCATGCAGCCTTCCCTCACCTAAACCAGGGACATTTCCCATCACATCAAACACCTCGAGGCACATGAAACACCATTTTGCATGCCAAGAAGGGACTTCAGCCCCCTTCTGTGTGTGCCCAGGGACTATAGCCCCCATTGTGTGGCACAAGGGACACAAGGCTCTCCCTGTGCCTGTCAACAAAAACCTCCAAGCAGAGACTCCAGTCCCACCACCTCACGACTTATGGGGGCCTCCACAGTTCCTCTGTGGCCACCTTACACTGATCATGCTGTGCATGCCTTCTTCACCCTCTCTACCAGAGATTTCACCAAATCTGCACCAAATAGCACAGCAATAGAGAGGCTCAAATCCACCCTCGTAATTTACACAGAATCTGTGTACAGAATTGTAACACTCCCCCTTTGGCTCCTTCCTGCTGTAAAGATACAGGGTGAACTCACCTGCTACTACCAGTTGCATGTTTGGAGGCGGGAAGCCCCAAGGGTGCATCTCTACAGTCCCATCTGGGCTGCCAAAGTGCTCAGGAAACTACGCTGTTTGACCATTCTGGAGGCACAGGTGGCTCCAAAGAGCCAATGGTGTCTCATTTGATTCCCTACCCACACCACTCTCAACCACTCAGAGTGGGTAGGCGTACCCATTCAACCTCAATCGGGATTCTCCCAGCAGCAGACTCACAGATGTCACGTTCCATAAAGAGGCACCAACTCCTGCTGCAGCACCCAGTGTCCATTC